TTGGCTGGGGCTAACAAGTGTAGCAGTCATGGCATTCTGCTCCCAGCCTAAAGCTGGTACATGCACACAGACAAGGCACTCTGTCGCTGCATTTCTGAAGCCCCTGGGGCACATTCAGTCAAGACATTTTCTGAAGCCAGAGAGCATTCCCCACCCCACTTTCCACTGCCTAGCTAAAGCCAACAGGGACACACAGGAATTCCCCTTAATCACTTGGCCGTGGTGGCCAAGGAGGCTAGCATTGTGAGCTTCCCAGGAATAGAACAGTAAGAAAGACAGTTCTTGGAAGCCCACCACCCCCAGGGTACTGTACAGATGGCAGACTGAAAAACAATCCAGTCTTCCTATGAAAAGGCTTATTTACTCAGCTTGGAGCTTCAGCCTGAGGGACAGGCTTCCAAAAAAAATTGAAGACAATGCTTTCAAACTCATTTTATAAGCACTACCCTGACACCAAAACCAGACAAGGCCATCACAAAAAAAGCAAAATTACAGGCCAACATCCCTAGTGAACACAAATGTAAAAATGCTCATCAAATTTTAGCAAACCAAATCCAACAACACTAAAAGGATCATATACCACAATTAAGTGGGATTTATTGCAGCGATGCAAGGATGGTTCAACACCCACAAATCAACTGCAATATACCACATTAATAAAATGTAAGATAAAAATATGATCATCACAGTAGGGGCAAAAAAAGCATTTGATGCAATTCAACATCCATTCATGATAAAACCTCAATAAAGTGAGTGTAGAGGGAACATTCATAACCCACAGCTAATATTAGAGTCAATGGTGAAAAGCTGAAAGCTTTTCTTCTAAGATCGAAAACAAGAAAAGGATGCTCACTTCCTCCCCCCCTTTTATTCAACATAATATTAGAAATCCTAGCCAGAGCAATTAGTCAAGAAAAAGAAATAAAATGCATCCAAATTGTAAAGGAACAAGTAAAACTGTTACTATTTGCAGATGATTTGATACTATGTATGGAAAACCCTAAAGACTCTACCAAAAAAAAAAAAAAACTATTAGAATAAATGAATTCAGTAAAGTTGCAGGATACAAAATTAATATATAAAAATCTGTGGCATTTCTATGCACTAATAATGAACAATAAGAAATTTTAAAAATGATTCTATTTACAATCACATCCAAAAAATAAAATAGCTAGGAATAAATTTAACCAAGGAGGTGAAAGACCCATACACTGAAAGATGTAGGACACTGATGAAAGAAACTGAAGACAACACAAGTAATAGAAAGTATTTTGTGCTCATATGTTAGAAGGAAGAATTAACATTGTTAAAATGTCCACACTACCCAAAGCAATCTACAGATTCAATGCAATCCCTATAAAAATTCCCATGGCATTTTTCACAGAACTAAAACAAATAATTCTAAAATTTATATGGAACCACAAAAGACTCCAAATATCCAAAACAATCTTGAGAAAGAACAAGCCAGAGTTATCAGGCTCCCTGATTTCAAACTATAATACAAAGATGTAGTAGAGAAAGACAGATACCATATGTTTTCACTCTTATGTGGATCCTGAGAAACTTAACAGAAACCCATGGAGGAGGGGAAGGAAAAAAAAAAAAAAA